TTTGGCTGTTCAGGCCGCTCTTTGTACAGGGTGTCCGAAAATTCATCACCTCATTTGTCTTGCTTGTAACTTTTCAACTAATAGAAAAAAACACAAACTGTAAACGACAAATATTAGTTTAATTCAATATGTTTTTCATCTTCAAGTTCTAAAGATAACATCTAACAAGTGTCCTCCGTTACAGAGCTGACAGGTTCGAGCCCTTTCTACGGCATGCTCCATGACTCTACCCATATAGCGGCTATAGCGGCTATTTCGGCTCGAATGTTTTGCTTGAGTTCTTGCAGAGTTACTGGTTTGTTGATGAACACTTTTGCCTTGATAACCCCATAAAAAAAAGTCCGGGGCCGTCAAATTCGGTGAACGCGCTGGCCAATTTAAATCTCCATATTTCGAGATTATGCGGTTCGGGAAAATTTCCCTCAATATGTCCATTGTCATGCGAGCTGTGTGTGCCGTGGCACCATCCTGTTGGAACCACATGTCCTCCAGGGCTAGCCTATCCACCTCGGGTACCAAAAAGTCCTGTATCATTACTCTATAGCGGTCACCATTAACTGTAACTGCATTTCCAAGCTCATCTTCGAAGAAATATGGCCCTAGAACGTTTTGGGACGTCACCCCACACCAAACTGTTACCTTACGTGGGTGCAATGAACTCGAATGAATTGTCCTAGGGTTTGCATTTCCCCAAACCGGAAGTTTTGTTTATTGACCGAACCATTTAGCTCAAAGTGAGCTTCGTTTGACATCAATAATTTTGAAGAAAAATTGATGCTTTCAGCATCAAGATTTAATAGCGCTTCGGAGTAAGTACGACGTGGTTGAGTATCAGCTGGCAATAGTTCTTGAACCATCTGTATCTTGTAAGGGAACAGACTCAAATCGGTGTGCATTATTGTGTGCAGGGATGATCTTGGGATACCCAACTGTTCGGAACGTCTTCTTATGGATGCTTCTGGAACTTGTTGCACACTTTCATTAACAAGCGCAATGTTTTCCAAGGACCGACTTGTTCGGGGTCTCCCTGTATGCCTCCGATCACCAGTGGTTCCCGACTGCTCAAATCGAGCCACTAACCGCCGAATGGTCTAAGCAGTAGGCGCATGTTGTTGAGCGAATTGCCTTCGAAATCCTCGTTGTGTTGCGACAATTGATGCATTGTTTCTGGCTTAAATCAGTACTATTGCGGCGCGCTGTTGAGGAGTGTAGCGATTCATTTTAAAACTTTTTGGGCTGATCTTCAATAATCTGAAAGAATAAATTTAAAAAAAGTAAAAAATAAAAAAGTTATAAACAAAACAAATGAGGTGATACATTTTCGGACACCCTGTACATTAGGGTGGTCCAAAAAAGCACTTTTTTTCAACTTCAAATTTTTTTATAGTCTTAACCCCTCATCTTTGTACACTTCCAAATAGAAATTTATTTGCAAAAAATCAGCTCAATCAGAGCATATTTAAAGGTCGCTCAAAGGACATTTAGTTTTCGCCATTATTTAGTTTTCGCCACGCCATGCGCTGGCGGCATGGCGTGGCAACTAGATTTCTTTCACGTTTTGTGAGTGCTCCTCATTGGGGGGGGGTTTCACAGGTGTGAACTGCTATTGTTACCTAGTTTCTCCATGTTTCTGATCCCGTGTTGACTTTTTGCTTGTTTTGAAATCTTTTCAACGCTCCTAAACAAACTTTAAGAATGTATTGTTTCTGTTCGTCATATTTGGTGATGATTTGGTCGCAGTCAAGGATCAACTTCACTGTCCGTTCGGCAAAATCATTGACAACCCATCAAACTCTTTGTTTCTAATAGCACTCATGTACTGTTTAATATCAATTCATGTTGAAGGAGGTTCAAGTAAAAACTATTGATCAGTATCGAGTGCGGAGAATAAGAACATTTAGTGGGGAGATGAAAGCTCTCATTTTGTTATGTTTTTGGATCATGAATATCAGTCCATTTCAAGCTACTTGTTTTTTCTTCTTTCTTGTCTTACAAAATATTTGATTGATAGATTTGATAGATAGATGCAAAGGAGAAGGAAATGCCTTCCAAATATGTTATAGTATATAATTTTCTCTGCATGGTTCACTTCCTTTGAGAATAAGCACAATGCTTCTCTCGTCTGGTGCTCAAACTCACCAGATCTCAAACCTATGGATTACGCCGTGTGATCCACTTTGGAGAAGAAGGCCTGCTCGACACCGCACAGCAGTGTGGGTTCGTTGAAGAAGGGTTTTTTCAAGACTTGGGACGACATTAAGGTCAAACAGCTGACGGCCATCGTGGACAACTTTCCAAAGCGCTTAAAAGCCTGTATCTCGGTCGACGGTGGACATTTTGAAAAATTCTTATTGTATATTGTTGCCATATGTGTTTGTTATGTTTGATAAAAATTTTGATGAAATACAGCAAAGTTATAACCAAAAATATCGCGGCAAGAACCTGTAGAGATCTGGGGGTGGTGCAAAACTTTTTTTTATGTGTGTACATCACAGTAGCAATGCCCGATTTCTTTATTAAAAAAAGAAAAAACTTAAACAGTCGCGCATTTTTCTCGTACCCGGTATATCATGTTGAAGCGTATATCCAAATGATTTGGAAAGGCATCAATTTATATTCTTGAACAAAATAAAATCTAATAATAGAATGAAACTGAAAATATCGTTTAAATTGGGTGCCAGAGTTAAACCACTCAAAGAAGACCTAACTTCCATGCCTAATTTAATGTTCCGATTAGCACAGAAAATTTTCCATGCTGCACTCCAGTCACACCTACTGAACCGAAACGGTAAAAACTTTCTGGTTTAGAGACCTTGGAGGAAGGGAGTATACCGTTTCTATATCTCATCCGCGAGTGTGTAGGTGAAGTCACGAGGGTGAAAACATCCCAAGTAGCAATTTTGATCCAAAATAAATCTATTGGACATACACTCATGGACACTTGGACATCCAATGTATATCCCCCTCGGACATCCACTGGATGACTAAATGTCTCGTCCAAGGATAATCCTTGGACATGTCCATTGGATGGCCTTTCGGATGTCCGTCTCATATGATCAATTGGAGATTCCCTTTGGGAAAGCTTTTGGATGGCCATTGAGGGGTGCAGCGATAGTAATCCCCAGATATCAATGGAGAAAAATCTGCATGCTCATGAATATTCATGGCATGGGAATGAGCATTTCTTGCATATTGACGATCTCGCCCTCTCTCGTTCCTTAGAGGAATTAGGAAAGAAGCGTTAATATGGAATGTGAAGCATCATTGAAATGCTACTCTCGGCTTCTCATTCTTATCTCTCATGCGAGCGAGTACCTCCCATCGCCAAATGCAACATAGTTCTCACATGAAAAGAACAGACCTACTTGACAAGGGAGACCACACTCTCACCATGCTATGTGCAAGAATTGCCAGGAGTCTCCTTGAGCTATATTACGTCTCTCAACAAATGAATTAATAAGAATGACTTCATTCCTTAGGCTTGTACGTGGGAAATGATCGAGTTGAGATGAAAGCTTACGCAGAACAATTCGTTAGCATTTTGGCAATCGAGAGACATACAGCGGCGGGATGAGCGCGACCTCGCTTATATTATGGGAACTTTATAATCCTTGAATAAACTGGTAGATGTCAGGTCAGATGGAAGGCCTCAACGGGGCGGGGATTCCATCCAAGGACATCCAATGGAAGACCATAAGAAATTGTCCTTGGAAGTTCCTTTGCTGGACGTCCAATGGAAGCCAAAAGAAGGACTGACACATCGTTTCGTTCGTATTGTCGAAATCTAAATGAAATCATGCACTGGTTCAATTATAATGTCACACTATCTATATATTGATTGCAGTTATTTGGTTGCGACCTAAGATGGGAAATTACAAGAAAAAAAAGAAGAAAACAAATCCCACGATCGGATCCTCGTAACGCCATTCCATAAAACCTTAATTCAATAAGATGGAAATAATTGAGTGTTCGATGTAGGGAAATTCTGCTCGAATAAAGCTCGGAATGCATGAGAATATATATCGATCCATGGCGATAACATCCTATGTACATCCAACGGACGACCGCCTCTGGACTTATATCCATCTCTGAACAACTGGACTGTCCATGGACGAGTTTTGGATCACCCATGGCTACTTGGGATGTATCGGAACCGGCCGTTTCGTACCAATAGCCAAGTAGCATGACTCTTCCCATGGACGTCCCTAACAGATTCAGACTCCCACGTCCCACAACGGGCATCCCATGGACGTACGAGAGATTTGACCCGTGGGACGTTAGTATTCATCACCTTCCGGTATGTCCTTTGGATGTTCCAGGGGATATCCACTTCTGCAGGACATTTCATAGGGACATCCATAGGATGTCATCTGTCCTACGCTGGATCCATATGGAATGTCTCAGGGATGTCCTATGGCTCACTGGGTCAGGCACGGTCGTGCCTTCAAACGGCCGGATGAGAAGAGTTTAACTTTCCTTCATTTCCTTGCTCTCTTTCTCTGGTTCCCCAGCTTTCTCGGTGAGCGGGATGCTCCATACTCCACTCGTCCATCCACAACAGGAATTTCTTCCACTTAGAAATTTTCCCTACCTAACAGCGTACTCCAAGAAAGTCAAATCGTGCATATACCAGAGGTTTCTCCTACGTATGCCGGGATCGCAATACAAGAGTTCTTTCCGGCTTTTCAACTATTTTCTAGATAGTTTTCAAATAGAAAGCTCGAGAAGATCTCGAAACTTCGAAGAGATCAACAAAGGGAGTCTCCGAAATAAAATATTTGGGGGTTTTAGGAATGTATATATAGTGACAGGAAATGTAATAGCATACAAGACTGTCAAACACACGGTCATTCTTCAAGGAATTATTGCCTTCTCCCCACAATATGTATACGAGTTTCAAAAGCAAGCTCTCGTTGACGATCTCAATTTCGAGTTGGATGGAGATCCACATCTCCTCCATCAATTCACTTTCGTTATACGAGTCGCACCGTTGGAACATACGGGTAAGAGGATATGTTTTATTTATTTCGATAGTATTCATATTCGTTTCTCTAACGGGCAAGGAGAACCATCAACAATGATAACAAGACGAATTAGAATATGGCTCGATGAGCGCGCTGGGAAATGGGACAGCATTCCCAGACGACGAGAACAACGGATGGAGATCACAGCACCGTTCTTGGAATGAGGCAATATCATCCATTCCGGGGAAGAATACGAGGCGAGACGAAAGAAAAGGAGACGATAAAGGTGTCATTCGGGAGATAGGGGCTGAGCGACATCTTCTGGGTGCCCCACCGCATCCAGGATGGCATCTCGCACCTGTCATCACGGTCGCGAATGCATTTGCATCGTCGGACTCTTCGCGGGGATCGACGAACGGAAGGAGTAAAGACCTGTTTGATCTGAGCGAGAGAGACGAAGATGAGGTCCTCGTGATCGAGCGGGTGCGGCTGATGCTGAAGGGTCTCTTGCAGCCGGGTGATGTGAACGGACATCTTCAGACAGCAACTCCTCACCAGGTCCCTGATCTCCTCCGCTTCCGTCCCTTCTTCCACTCCTCCTCCGGACTCGTCTTCTCTCTCCTTCCTTCCGGTCCTCTCTTTAAGCGGCTTCAGCTCTCTGACGACGATGCGACGGGGATGCGCCTTCTCTCCTCCTTCGTCGGCTTCGCAAAGGAATCTCCATGGACGTCCGGAACATAAAAACGGAGAACCGAGAAAGTACACTCACCTCCGACTGCGGATTCTCCTCTCTTTCCCTTTCCCTGGATCGGCACCTGAAACGAAGAATCGGACGTTCCGAGCCGGGACGCGAGGAAAAGTCGAGAGAAGCGGAAGGGATACGAGAAGCAGACCTTGGAAGACGACCCGTCCGAGACGGCGGAGATGGGGCTTCCACGATCGCGTGACGATCGATTCGGCTTTCGCTTCGCTGCTTCCGGACAGGGATAAAACTTGCAGGGATAGAAACGAACGAGGAAAAGAATGAACGCTCCTGGCGATGGAATGAGCGATGGAGAGAGCGGAAGGGAACTCACGGACGGATCCTGAAAGTGAAGGGCCAGGTCGACGAGGTACTGGGAGTCACCCGAGTGGGGATAGCGGAGCAGTAACGACAGGACCTCCGAATAATCGCACCCTAAAACTTCACGTGCGCACGCGAGATCGAGAGAATACCGACACGACTCGTTCAGAATAGCCCGGAGAGGAATCCAGAGAGAAAAAAAAGAAGAGGGGAGAAGCACGGGATGGACGTACGACGTTGTCGGACGGCGATCAAGAGGGAGGCAAAGAGATGATCCACCAGGGAGAGACTCGTTCCCGTGGCAAAAATGGCATCCCACACGCATAACAGATCCCGATAGGGGAATTCTCGACCGAAGAGGAGGCGCAGCCAGCGACTGTCGTGCACACAGAAAACGTGGTCACGAGCCCCAACGTATATCAAGACATCCCCGAAAAGACTTTTCGTTCGATCGTTCACAAATCACGAGACATCGTCACAATTCATTCTGGTTATTTGGGTCGGTCAAATCACACTAGTTCCATAACTTTGGACAATAACAAGATTCAGATGCCTCCAATCGTTACGAATATAATTCCATTTAAAATTGAATACGTCCTGTAATCCTCATCGATATGAGGAGAGCATCCTTGTCAATAAGTTTTGCTATGGTTCTAGTGGTCTCGAGGCGGAACAGTTTCATAGTTTCTTTTCCTTGTAGGCGAAGTGAAAGGGATGCTTTCAGAAGACAGAGGAAAGAAATTCTCAGAACTCTGCTCATCTCACATCTGAATGCAGTACCTCACGGGCTGGAATATGCATTATTCGTTCCAGAATTGGTCCATATCATACCCTGCACGATTATCCACAGCGGGAGATGTCAATAGAGATCGTCAAATACCGATGGGGTCTCAGTGGGACATAAAATGAGCAATTCATCGATATCAATCGATAATCTGTAGGCCTCGTTATTTCTGAGGACTCAGGCAAAGATTTTCAACACCCGAAATACTACACTGTCCCTAGGCGTGTTCAAAGCATACCTGTGCTTGTCATGCAATTTCGCAGTTATTTCTATCGATAAGTACTGTTTTTTTTTCACTTTATGATCCAGCTTTACGACAACGTTTTCGCAGAAAATATTTGGCATCTCCAAACATTGCCATTCACGATGGCGTAGAACGACACACTTTTCTAAAACGATGTCTACGGGTCCAGAGATATATCACATAATGACATACGGTAGGAAAACGACATCAAGAAGTTTGCGAATATCAAAACGGCTTCTGGATCGAATCGAGGATCAGAACGACAGGGGGAGATCGGTCGTGCAATCTACACGAAATTATCAAGAGACAGAGAGAGAGACAGACATGCCAAATAACTGCGGAGGGATGTCAAGATTTTGAAGATGGAGGAAGAGATCCAAGTCCTGACTCTTGAGGATCGTCCTGAAGATGCGATTCACCCGCCTCACCACTTCGCTCTTGCCGCCGTTGCAACCGAAATCCCTCCCTTCCTTTGTTTCCTGCTCCGGAAAAAGGTGAGAATTCGTCGCTCTCGCTCGACGTCGCACGGAAGGAAGAGAGGAGCGAGGAAGCCCTTACGCGATTCTCGAGAGGGAGTTCCTCTCTCGTGACGTACCAATCGCCCACCATCTCCATGAGCGCCGCGAACAAGCAGCTTACACCGTCGAAGAGAAAGAGACGAAATCTCGGATTCGTTCGACGACTCGACGAGAGAGAGCGAGAGGAAAACTCACAAGGAGTCGTGCTCGACGAAAACGGGGTCCAACAGCTCTTCCATCACCGGGCTGAAGAAAGGAAGGAAGACAAGCATGAGGACGTTTTTAAATCGCGGACCGGGTTCCTCTCGACGGGACTCACTCGTCGATCCGGGTGGAAGTCCGAACCGTGCGGAAGGCCCGAGAATCCGAATCGAGGACGTAGATGATGGGGGCCAGGATTTCGTGCATGCCCTAAGGAGACACGACATCCGATATATCGTTCGCGATCCGCTTTTAGATGGCTTCTGACTCGTTTTCGCCATCCCGCGGACGAAGAACGTCGACGGAAAAATCGACGAAAGAGAGTTAGTTTCGGGAAACTCCACTCGGATCTACGAGGGATGGGTCGCCATCGAAGATGCACGGCGTAGGCAACAAAATCCCATTTTCGGCGTGTCCAAACTGACTTCCTCTCCGATGCGAAACGGAATGTGGAATGCAACCACCGGTATCTCGAGATCGTCGACGGACGAGCTTTCCTCGAAAACTTGACGGCGGAATGCAGAAATTAAGTCGAAGCGATTGCGAATGAAAATGGAGCTCCACTTACAGCCTTTTTCGCTATCGAGTGGAGTGTAAGAGCGAAATTTTAATCTCTTTCGTGAGGCTGTTAAAAGACTTACGTAGGAAGGTCATCATAAAAATAATAATAAAATTATCTCCCAAGAATAAAAAGATGTCGCTCACGACTTTAAACCGTTCCCAACCCATCCCAAGTGAGTGCCTAATGTTCGTACGCACCGAAATTCAAGTTCATGAATGGATTTCAGCAGCCCATTATCCATTTTCTGTCTTCCAAACGACGAAATACAAGAAACGTTGGAATTCATGAACGAAGTACCGAAAATGATCCTTCCGAGCGCAAAGCCTGCTGAACGTCGTCTTCTGCGTCTCAAAAATTCGCCTAAAACGCCAATTGCTCGATATGCAATACCTACCCTCACATCCCGTATCGAAAAACAAGGGGATGTGCGCCGAAAATGATATACAAACTATCTAAAAGCATTTTTCAAAAGGCATAAAATGGACATGTTAGTGATGTATGACGTCCCCTCGTGCGGAGACCGATGCAAACCTGTCGATAGGCAACGTGTGGGAATTTTCGAGCGTAGTAAAAGAGAACATCCACGAGGATGGATTGGATCTTCGGATCCCTGAAGAACGGCTCCTCGGGGAAAGTGCGAACTGCGTCCTGTTCGATGGTCGACCGCAGGCTCCCATCCTTGAAGTATTGGTTCCATAGACTCTGCAAAGAGGGTCGAAACGACGAGGCGTTCCGGAGGTGAGAAGGACGGACAAAAAAAAACAAGAGGGAAGGAAATGGAATCTTCACGTGGTCGTCCTGAGAGAGGGGATTTTCGATGTGAGGATCGAGATCGTCGAGTCTCCCTTGGGCCGGGTGACTGCGGCATCTCTCCCGGAGTTCCTCGAAGGCGAGTCTCCCGACGGCGGCATCTTCCCTCCAGCGTCGAGACGTCGTTCCGTCGAGGACTCCGAGGAAGATGCGCCACGCGATGCCTCGAAACCGGCTCTCCTTCAGTCCTCCTTTCTGGGCCTTCTCCCTCAGCGTGTTGAGCGTCTCCCGGCTCCCGAACAGGCTCTCCCATTCCTTCCTGGTTTCGAACGCATCCATCCCGGCGCTAGGGCGCATCACTTCCCACGGGAACGGGGGAGGATCGGTGCTAAAAACGGAACTCACGGATACGAATCGTCCGGATCGGAAGGGGCCCCCGTTTCTCCCATCGCCTTCCCTACCGGAGACATGATGACTGCAATCGACTACGGCTCGATTAAATTTTTTTTTTCTTCCACTCACTGCAGCCTCGACGTGCCGATTACGAGGCAGGGAAGGACCCAGTCACGGCGAACAACTTTTTTTTGCTCGAATGCAGATTTGTAACCTCTGTACGAAGACGATTTGGACACACCCATTTTAAAAGAATAAAGATACAATAGTATTGCACATCTCGTCCTGGTTCCAGTCGGAACTGATGGAAAATTTTTAGGGCTGTATCGATGCAACTTCGACCGCCGATATGGCATTATCTGCTCCATCGGCCGGTTTTCACCATGCCGATACTAACGGAAGTCGTCGTCGCTTCCCGTTAGAAAAAAAAGCGGGGCGCATACGCGCGTGCATGCGGCGAGCGCCATACTCCCTCTTCTCCTCTTCGATGGGAGCTGGTACTTCGGCCTCTTCCACGCAAAAAATAAAAATTGAAAATGGTAAGATTAAATCTCTCTTTTTGGCTGGGACAAGGCTCGAACGATGGCATCGAACATGTCACCGGACCACTCCTATTCGTTCCGAAAAAACGCACTCGTATTGGTTCGGTTCTCTTCCAGGCGACTAAAATCCATAATGACTTAGCAGCCAAGGCACAATTTTCTCCCTGTAGCTTACACCCGCGTGGAATCCATCCAGCATCCTGACGGAGTTCCCCTTCCTATTTTCTAGAATACGTGGGCCAAGGGCCTAGGATTTCCACTACGGCAAGACGAGATTCTTGAGTCCCTTTGGTAAAAAACCTATACTTTTCGCCTAACCGATGTATTTTAGGTCATGATTCCCTACCTAGGTGACTACTCGAAGCGATGGTAAAACTCATGCGTGCTTTCGGCCTCTCCACGCGCATAAAACGGGACGGCGACGGCGTCATAAACCTCATAAATTGGCATGAAAAATGGCCATCGATAAGGCGAAGTAGATTATATAATAATTTGTTTGAGTCTCTCCCTCCCCCCGCCCCTCTGATCGTCTTCGCCTTCGATCGTCGACGTCTTTGACTGCTGACCGAAACCGACCACGGGCCCATCAGTCAAAGACTGTCATCAGTACAGCCCTAAAAATGTCTATAGTTAGTTCTTAGGAACTCGTAGAGAGAAAATCACTCATTTGTGCTCAGATTTTCATGGAGGACGAAGTGAAGAATTTACAAGAATATACAACCCTCCCCCACATTAGAACCAGTTATGTCGACACAGACTCAGCGACGACCAGGAACATACTGAATTGGTTGGCTGACTACATCTCTCGTGTCCCTGGCAATGCCTTATGGCTCCATGTCGATTGATAAGGAAAGGCAAGGAAATTACATCCAGTGATCTGTCATCGTATAGGCGGCACTTGTACAAAAAGTCACCAAGATTATGCTCATAACTTCCCTATTTAGAGAGGGGGAGGGCAACAAAACCGTACATATTTGATGGTGGCAAACCTGCAGCAACGGCTGCTTGTTCAGTAACTAAAGCCTTTCCCAAAATCCCGGACAGCATTTTGGATGTATCTTTCCTTAGAATCTTAAGACGGGAAAATTTAGCAAAATGTGCGAGGGAGGTCACCTGATCCCACCATGGATTTTTTTAGTGCAACGTCCCAAGTGAAAACCGCAGATTGTTTTCGTGATATTAAACAAGCGAGCAGTGGCGTAGCGAGGGGGGGGGGGGGGCTGGGGGGGGGCGGNATCTGCTGTGCAGTGTAATCTTCATTTATCTGTGTTTCTGCACTCATACATTTTACATCATGCTGCATTACTTAATTTTGCACCAGCATTCCAGTTTACTATTAGTAAGTTTTAAAATGTATAAACCTTAACATTGACATGGAACAAATGTAGGATAATGCATTAATTGCCATATGATGCTGACTTCATCTGTAAACCAGCCCCCCCATTGATGAAAACCTGGCTACGCCACTGCAAGCGAGGCAGCTTTTCTGTTACTTTCAATTCTTCAAACAGGAGAAGCATTCAAGAATTCCCAATCGGGCCTTCCTAAAATTTGAGGATACCAAATCTTCATCCAGTTGAACCATTAACCATAACCTACTTCTGAACCAGATATCTGTCTGTTTTCAACATTGTTGCGATGCATATGGGCCTTCTTGATACTTTTGGAAAACAGCAGACAAATATTTGCAATACAAACCAAGACGTTTTGAAGAAGCTGGTTTACAGATGAAGTCAGCATCATATGGCAATTAATGCATTATCCTACATTTGTTCCATGTCAATGTTAAGGTTTATACATTTTAAAACTTACTAATAGTAAACTGGAATGCTGGTGCAAAATTAAGTAATGCAGCATGATGTAAAATGTATGAGTGCAGAAACACAGATAAATGAAGATTACACTGCACAGCAGATGGGGAAATTATGAATGAATATGAAAAATATCAATGTAATAGGCCAACATGAGGATTAGAACCATATTTACACAAATTGAAGAGTAGCAAAACCTCTCGTTTCCTTCAAACTAGGCTCTAACAAATCAAGAAAATCATATCTGAGAACTCTGGAGGAAGATGAGTTTTTTTTTATTCTTCTCCTTGTGAAAGCCTATTCTGGGAAAGATACCAGTTCTGGAAGCAAACCTCACTTTTGCCAGTATGCCACTAAATGATGGGTAGCGAGATGACTTACAGAACTTGAAGCTCATGCTCTTTCCTTGTTTGCTTTAATTCCTTGACACTCCCTCCCTAAGAAATGTATTCACCGAGATGTGGGAAGAGAGGTATTTGAGCCTCAGGCTGCAGCCCTTTGCAGCACCCCACTCTCTTCCAGGCACATCCTGCCCACTAATAATTATGTCAGTCCAAATAAGAAAAAGGAACTGCAGGAAGACAGAAACCTCAAAAGCTTTTATTTCATAATTCCCTTTCTCTCTCTCTATCTCTCTCTCTCTCTCAAAAAAAGTCCTTTGGACATTTGCACTGACAATCTGAGTCATTTTTTGCTGGAAAACACTTCAGTACAAGGGAAGGAGGTGGTTTTATGAAATTTGTAATTAAGGAATAGAATTTCCTTCAGATACATACAAAATAAACTCCAACAGCTGGAGGAGTTGGTCTGAAGAGAGATTATTACATGGTTGTTTTGCACTCCTTTTCTTCCAAGAATCTGAATCTCACACTGGCAGTGACCTAGCTTACAACTACCTACTGTTCCTTCACTCCTTACATGAAAAAATCACTCTCGACCAAAGGACAGAGAGGAATAAGAGAGTATAAACACAACAAAAACAAAACAGAAAAATGTGACAGAGAAGACATGGAGAGTGAAAGAGAAAAGGAATAGGCATAATGTACGTATTTCTCCCATTAACAGGGAAAATTGATCACAGGACTAAAATTACCGTGGCAGAAGAAACATGATCTTGTAAAACATGACACATCCATTTTTTTTTCATTTCGGTGGGGAAAGTTGCCTGCATGCTCACTCTCTCTGGTCTTCTCCCCCTCCTCTCTCCTCTCAGAGAAAAACCTCTGTCTCTTTCATATGGCTGAATCTATGAGGTAGATACCATATACTGAACCTACAAAATACAATTGCAGAGAGAGGGGGGAGGAGCAGCTTTAACCCAATACATAGAGAAGGGGAGATACGATTGCAGGATTGAGCACAACCACTGCATATGCCAGAAGAGAGAGTGAGAAAGAGAGAGATTATGAGACAAGAAGTGCAGATGAGGGAGGGAGGGAGGCAGGCAGGCAGGCAGGCAGGCAGGCAGGCAGGCAGACAGGCAGGCAGGCAGGCAGGCAGGCATTTCAAACAAATTAGACCTGAGTAAGCTTCCTGGTCCGGTTCATCCCCATAGGTCAGATGTCTCTATTGCTATCAGAAGTCATCCCTCCTAGCAAGACAGAGTGTACCTCAATGTGTGCTATGGCAAATGGGAATCAAGTTGATCAAAAGCTCTTTCTATGTCTGCGGGAATGCAACCGAGAGGAAACACGCAGGCGGGTCAGGGAGGAGAGCACTGTGGATGACTCAGAATGCGAGGTCACTTCGTCCACTGGATTGAGCATTGAAGCGAAATGAGAAAAATCACACAACAATCTCCCCAATGGGAAAAAGAGCAAAGAAGACACAAAAGACACAAAAAAATGGGAGTGAGCTGAGCCAGATCTCTCAAGAGTTTGTCATCATGAAGTCACCATCATCCACTGATAGAAGATCACATCATCACAGAAGTGGTTGCACACTTTCTTCATCACTATTTCCACTCACTCCTAAACAATATCTTTTCCTTCTTGTCCAGGCAAACTCAGTCCAAGAGGTCCATGCAGAAATGAGACTAGCAACTTTCATATTTGCTCTGTTTTCTCTCTTGCATGGCTGCCTCTTCGACTCATTTGCACAAAGAAAAAACAAAAAACTAACACAAAAATATAGAAAGCAGAGCATTCCCAAAGGAAAGTGGGAAGGTCTGAATCTGAGTTTGTTTGAGATACTGACTAAATTGTCTCCTTCACTGGGATTTGTTTCAGGGGGCACCAATAATGCATCTGGACCTGGAAACATGAAGAGACAGGAGAAGATCAAACATGTGAAGTAGCAAGTATAGAATCTCAAAATGAGGTATGCATCAAGGTTTACGTTGCATACGAGTTCTCCACATATCACTACTAGAGATTGAAAGGTATATCCTGCCAATGAGAATCAAATAATCCCAATTAACCAAAACTCAATATTTGCTTCTCATCCTTATGGATTATACATAAAAATAAGCCCATCTTTATCTTTTTTGGATAGTCTTATATGGCAGATTGTGAGCCGGATAGTATAGAGCCATAATAGACTCACCAAAACAAATGATGAGGAAAATGAGATGATGCACAATGGAGGAGTTTCATGAAATGGAGGAGCAAGGGACTCGAGGTGAACCCATTTGGGTGAGGACCCGATCCAGCCACTGAAGAGGTCCATTCAGATGTAGTTCAATCCAGCATGGGGTGGATGTGATCGTTTGACGTCTAAAATTGTGCAACCATCCAAACATTACTCTTTCCAGCCATTCATCTGGCCAGGAAGGACAACCAACATTGGAAAGGCTCGAGGCTTACCTATACTCAGCTCCCCAGCCTTTGACAAAGCTCATGCGAATGGTGCACATGCGTGTCAGCTGATAAACAGCTTCAAAACCCTGACTCACTGACTGTGAGAGGTGAGCTGCAAACTCCTGATTGTTAAATATCTTCAAGTTGCAGCCTAAACAAGAAAATAATAAAATTACCTCTAGCATGATAGCCTAAAGCAATTACTGCCCATCAACATGTATAGGATCAAAAATGTGCACTGAATAAGTATTTCCAGTGTCAGCAACATATTTAAAGTTGAAATAATGCTACAATTTTTATTATGCAAAGTAATGCAATCATAAATTGATCTGAATTGTGTTCAGAGCATTCTGAATTTATTTGTAATCCAATATTCCTGCATGATTAAGGGAAACTAATCTAATACCAGAAATAAAAAATACATGTTTTCTCCTAGAATGGAAGTCAGGGAAAGGGAGTGCACCAAAGCATCAGCTTTGGCTCATTCCAGATATTGCAGGCATAAACTCCAAGTTATGTTGCAGAGAAATAAACAAGTCTTATCACTTGAGTAATAAGTGATGATCCAAGCCCAGTGATTGGTGTAGTCCGAGCTCAGAGAGGAATTACATGGTTATTACTCAAAAGAATCAGAGCATTATGTCTCCACATTTGGTTTTGTTGGCTACCTTGCTGATGGACCAGATTAAATAACTGAATATCTTAGTACAACATAGGAGAAGTCCTATGTCTGCCCGGTGCATAAGAAAAAGAATATTAAAAAAAAAACAATAGCAGGCATAGATGAACAGACCTGGAGGTATTTTGCAGACAGTTGCCGGATGCCAACCATATCTCTGGTTGCAATTTGGGGACTGAACAAAGATCGCTGAGTCAGAAAGACATTCTGCAAAAACTTCTCCCCCAATGTAATAGAGGCGAACTCCCTTGCCAATGTGCCTTCTTGTCTGTTCGACCACTGGACTTCGATTCACATTGGACAAGAGACCCAGGCAGAATCGCTCTGAATTGCTTGGATCTGGCAGGAATTGGAATTCATTGTTTTTCAAACAAATAACCTACTGTAATGCTACTGTACTTGGAAGACACTTGGACAAGGAGAAATCAATTTCAACGCACCAGTGAACCCGTCAACAGTGAGAGATGGCTGAGAGGCATGGAAAGTCTCTCCTACTCGTGTCTTCAGTTCATAGTAGCTAATGGAACACCAGAATGCAGGCTCTGTATAAGTCACTGGCTGGAGGTCCACAATAGGGGGACTTGGTGTCGTCACCATGCCTATTTGGACAAAAAGTACCCTCTCATTACTGTGTGAAGCACACAAGATCAATTAGAAAGATGCCAAAACCCAAAACTGTGCATTAGCCCTTATCTGGGCAAGGTCTTTTTGAGATATAAAGGAGCAAGAGCAAGCATTTCAAGAATTTTCCACTTTAAAGCAAGTAAAAACTTTAAAAATTTGTTTCTGGATCTTTGGGTAACTACCTATGAAATATACCCTGGAAAGTCCAATGGACTCCCATTGCCTGGATAAGGGTTAACTGCATCCATTTTCCTATTACCATAAAGATTCACAAAGGAGGTATTTGAGAACATGGGAAAAAAAGTTAATAAAGGGTCAGGCTGTCAGAGACTATATTTGCCATGGTACCCATTTCCCCTTCACCCCTTCTTCCCTTCTCCATATTCAGCCAATGAACAGGGAAAGGGAAATCCTGCAGCATTCTCATATACATGTTGTTAGCTGGTCTTGAAAAATCTAATTTCACAGAGCCCAACATATAACTTCTAGTGGTCTCAACAATGTTCATCCAATCAACATGATGTCTCCTGTATCATTGACTATCACTTTCAATAGAAATGACTGCCTCTTTAAATATTTACATCTAAAAGTTTCCTGCTCGCAGAAACAGAGTAATTGTTGAAAAGCTTCTCTGTATATCCTCCTAAATCCTAATTATTCCATATGGTTACAAGTAAATTTGGTACACCTTTGGGACCTGTGGGTCTTAGGAGAATAAATATCTGGGTGCTTCATCTTCACAACCAGGAGGTATGAAAATCCAGAATTTACTTGGTGAGCATCAATTTTAATCTGGTTATAACCCTGATAATGAAGGAATGTAACACACTCATGTTGGAATCACTGTGGGTGCTTTCAGGATTGTCACCATCCTCTGACATGTAGCCAGGAGGAGGGCTCTCTGTCAGTGGGAAGGAAGGAGGAGAAGGTGAGTCCATGGACATGCTCTCAGGGATTGCAGTATTCAACTCTTCTGAATGTGGCAACTCTGACTTGATGTTTGCAGGAGATGAAGAACATGGCACCATAATGGGTGGAAGCACTGCAAAATAAAGTAAAAACCTAGAAATACTAAGAATTTTCTATAACCTGAATCTTTCCACAAATGAATTGCAATTGAGGAAAACTCAATAATTTTTCCCTAATGGCACATGATCAGGTACAAAAACAAGTTTGAGTCTCTCTTAACCCATCAGCTTACAAAGTCAGCAATTTACTGGCTGCTATAGTGAAGCCCATTCTTACTGAACCAGCAATCTGCCAATTGTAGCTTGCTACCTTTTTCTTCAAGAATTTCATGCATTTCTTCAAGAGATAGCAGCACATGTTGCATATTGTCTTAACACATTGGTGACAGGCCCCGAGAAATCTCATAGTACGCTCACGAGCGGTTGGTGACCGGCCCCAGGTCACCAACGTGACCTGCCCTGGGGCCGGTCACCAACCGCTTGCAAGCGTACTACGAGATTTCTCGGGGCCCATCACCAATGTGTTAAAACTGAAGGTCTGAGCAATCAAAATCACAATAAATTTAAAAATCAATCTGGAACAAATTTAGTACTCCAAAATAATAAGCCAATGGGTTAAAGCACCTTAAAAAAGGATTAGGGAGTCCTCTGCTTCCCCAGACCCTGGAAAGTAGCTCAAGCATGGACATTGGATAAGTGAACTCACCAGGTGCCTCTACCCTTTCATAATGGAAGGGGTTAACACAAACTTCGTCTTTCTTCAAATGAAAAGCGAATGCACAATGATCAATGGGCTTTAGCTGATGATGTGATTGTAGATCAGGCCAACGCCACAAGCGACAATAGATCACGTGCGGTAGACCTTTTCGATGAGACACCTGAAGACGACCGTCCAGCGATCTGGAGAAAAAGCAGTTATATTATGTTGAGGCTTCCTAGCAATATCATCTGGTAGGCTAACATCCATGTTATCCCATGAATTTTTAAAGAAGGTCCATTCCATATGGAGACAATATCTTTCCAGGATACCTAAGTCTATTGCCTACTCTATATATGATGATGAGGAAATAATATTTCACATAGAAATGGGCAATTTTAGAATCAAATAGCCATAAGTAGTCAGCTAATATTGTAGCAGCTGTAACTGTTACTATTCTGAGAAGGAAAAGCTGATGGCATCTGTTAAAAAAAAAATTAAAAACAAACCATGCATGACTACTGATGGGCATGAGCATAATTTACATTCTTTGGATATTCCACAAGTTAAGCAGATAAAAAAGGTTAGAGGGATCATTTAAATGTTTCATTAGAATAAATAGTGACCTAACAAGTAGAAACCACCAGTCTTTCCCCTCTTCTTGACCTTCCTGTATTGGAAAAATAAATTATTTGTCAGAATGCTATTTTTTTAGGCATGCTATACAAATCTAAGAGGGTAAGACTCCTTGGGCATTATTAAGATATAAACAATCAACATGATTTGGGTAGTTGACACTGTCATAATTATTTCAAATGCTTCTAATTTTACCCACGAATTCCTTCAAATTATATCATTTAACTAAATTGTAAACTGATATAACAATCACTGAATACTCATCCTTAGTAAGGGCTCATTTACAACAGAGATGAATTGTCACCATCAATGAAAACATTACATGGACAAGAGTAGTTATTATAGAATCAAAAAGACCTGGAGTCAATAAAGTTTCAGTTCGAGAACAAAAAAAAACTGAAAAGGGGACTGGATTGATCAACCATTCTTTGGCATATTTCTCTTTACTTAGATTCAGTATATTAAAAAGCCATTTACACCTGAAACTTGGTCATCTTCATGTCTTAAAATTAGGGCTGTACCGATGGTCACATTTGGCCAGTGGGCTGATGGCCTAATTTTTCCTCATAACTATTGGCCTGTGCTGATTGTTGCCTGTAGATGAAATCACCAATAAATTCAAATAGGTCTAATTGGAAGCCATGCCATACTTATCAGTAGGCCTCCTTGAAACAATAGAGACCACTTTTGGTCCTGTCCTGCCTATGTGTCTCACTATAAGGTTCTCAGTGGTTAGCTTGTTACCCATTGCTGCTGTTGAGAGCACTTTGTGACACCTCTTGCAAAAACATTACATAAATGGAAATGCAAGGATTCCCCGTTCTTTACCACTACTTTCCTCTGCTGGTTCCAATACCCAGCTGGAATATAATTCAATTTTGGTCTGGGAGAGGCTGACAGGAGTGGCTTTCAGTGAGACAGGAGGGCTGGCACCTAACTGTGTCCACACCAGGTTAGGAAAACCCTTGCGAACGTACGAATGAGTTTCGCAGGAACGGAGACAAGCTGGCAGGCAGCCCACTTAGTCTGCATGCATATCCTTCCCGGGAAATTCCAATTTGTTGCCTCTTGTTCGTGGGAAAAAAAATATATATTTTTCCTACACTGGTCCACATCCTCAAGTAATTTCTTTTTCACTTTGCCTGTCCTTTGGGCACTGGCAACAGCACCCTAGGCAGATGGCTGATGGCACCGATAGTGCAACACCAGTGGCTGATACCAATGTTAACTGATACAGCAGTACAGCCTACTTAAAATGGACAATATCTCATGTTTATAACGATATCTCATGATGAATATCAACAAAATCTGGAAAGGTCAAGCTTAAGTCTAAAATATGGTTAAATTGACATGAGATTACTGTAAAGCCAGAAAGAGAGGGATCTCCTCCATTTAATAATTAGGCTGAGATTGTCACTGATATGGTAAATACTGCCTTCTCTACTAGGCACCTACAGTGGAACAACAAATCAGTCTTCAACTTTTACTTTAGAAAGTAGAAGCTCCCCTTTCTGAACAGCCAGTCTCCTTTAGTAAGAATCTAGGATTTCTTAACTCTCTCTCCATTCGGTAACTCTCTTCAACAGCTAGCCCCAACAGATACCTAACGTAATGTTCCTATTGGTCACATTCACCTTTTCCAGAAAGGTTTGAACATTTAGAGACTGTTCAAGTTTTAAAAACTAGGTGAGCAGCTGACTACTCAACACATCCCCAACCCCTGGCCACCCAGTCGCATCACTGCTAGTGGCTCCCTTTTCTTTCTGAAAAACATCTGTCTACCCTGATAGTTTATAATATAGAGGATGACAGGTAAGTGAAGGTCACCTGGGGATTGTGATGCAGCGAGTTTCTGAACTTTGCGTAGTTACCGCTTTCTCTAGTTCCTCAAGCCCACCACTTTTCCTGAGTTTCTTCACCAGGCTTTTTACAGCCTTTTCACTCCATCTATCTTCGGATTCCCCTTTCTTCCAACCGAGAAGACGCTTCACTAGTGGATTTACGCCCGGATAGGATATAATAGTGGTCATTTCATCGACGCTCCACACCTGGTCATTGATTCGACTCAGGGTGGATAAAGTCTGCAACGGTCAAGAACAAGGTGAAGAACTTCAGGATTCGACTAAGCCAGAGTCAACCTTGATCTCATGGCTACTTTTGAAGCAGGATGAAGCCACAGACCAGCAAGGGGTTGCCATGTTCTCGTTTGAGGATACAGGAGATAGCGTGACGTCATCGTATCAGGTTGCCATACCATACTGGAGTCTTTCACTCTTATTCCCACGATGTTTGTCAAAATTTGCCTATTACCACGATAACTCTCCATCCACATGAAGTAAACGGAATTCTTCGACAGCGCTCTCGTTTCGCACTCCAGGAACTCGCGTTGTTGTTGATTGTATAATGCAGCATCCAGCAATGAAGGCACGTCTATATTGAGTGACACTAATGCGATCGGATAAGCATAAAACTAATATAAGAACGAATTTCTTTTGGATAGACTTCGTTCGGACTTCGTCCGCTTCTTTTCTGATTTTCTTAAATAATTTTTTTTTCGCATACTACAATTCGCATACACTACCTATACGAACAACGTGTATACGTCAAGCCATCACTGGATTCATCACACGATTCGCATCACCGTTTCCACAGGTCAAGCCCCCTCCAGATTCGTCTAACTCTATATAATCCATCATAGTCTCTCTTTCTCTCGCCCTCTCTCTCCCTATGTATTTGTAAAGTGAATTCGCACCACTTTTAACATAGACTTCCTAGACTTAATGTCATTTCTATCATGGGAAATATACCCTCACCTGATTGGATGCACGATAGAAATAAAGTTGTATGAAGTAAAAGGTCGTACGAAATCAATTGCAAATCACTGTAAGCAGAGTGACTCGAAATTTAGTTGGTTCAAATAATAGGTTTGCAAACAATTAGTGTGATCTGTACAACATACCATCAAGAACCTGAATAAATTTTCAATTTGATACGTTTCTGCCCGCACACTTTAGGAATCGTTCTGTAGTGAATTGGCAATATCTCGGCATGCATGGTATTAAACTCAGTTAATGCGTAGACTCTTTGCGCTCTTTTCTTCGTGCCCTAATCCAATAACTCTATTGGGGTAAGGTTTGGGGGAATTCATGGGTGGATTGCATAAAACTGACTTTAGCGTAATTAAGCTTTAAACTTCCATTAGCACCGATAAAGGAGGTTTAAAGCTTCATTGCGCTAAAGTTAGTTTTATGCAGCCCATCCTTGATCTTGATCTAAACTTTTAGTCATTTATAGCATTCTCTCAGCTAAAAGTTGCTTACTGCTGATAATGCCGTTCACTTGTGAGCCTTACACAATTTGTGCTGTGTTGTGTGTATTCACAGCTTGTAATAGTTCTTGCTCAGCTTTTACCGATTCAGTGAATCCTGGAAGTACTTTTAAAAAAAATAGCGGAGTTAGTTCTCGAGAGTACGCTCATAGGTTTAAAAACTCGTGATTCTGGGATACGTGCCTCAGATTCGCATTTAATGCGTTCCAAGAAAAAACGACGTCAAAATGTAAATGGAATCAACTTAAGGGGCCAAAATTTGACCACTTTCCCCTACAAAGGGAGTGAGCACTCGCAAGCGCTCCTTAAGGGCGGTTTTGGGAGGGTGGGGTTTAAAGGATTCAAGTCACTTCCCCCCCTCCCAAAACCGGCGTTGGCAACCTTCTTTCCACTACTTATGCTCCCTTGGCTCATGAGCCAAAATACGTCTCTGCCGTAGCGTCTCACATTCAATGCATTTTCATATTACTGTCACACTACTGTACACTACTGTCGATGGACGAGTTTTGGATCATCCTTGGCTACAGTGGCGTAGGGAAGGGAGGGGGGGGGGGGTTTAGGGGGTCAGAACCCCCCCCCCCCCCGGGCCTCCTGGGCCGTTGGGGGGGTTTAGGGGGTCAGAACCCCCCCCCCCCTGGGCTTCCTGGTCAGTGACAGACAGGTATATTTCAGCCTTCCTTGGGAATTCCAGTTTTAGTTATCCCGCTTCGAGGAAAGTCCAATGTCCATCCACAGACCCAAGATGCCAGACCACGATTTCTTCAAAAAAGTAAATTCCAGGTGGTGGAACTAAGCGTAGGGTTGGGGTGTCTACCTGGCCTCAACCCCCCCCCTTGCCGATTTTCTGCCTACGCCACTGCTTGGCTACTTGGGTCTGGACAACTGGACTGTCCATTGATGAGTTTTGGATCACTCATGGCTACTTGGGACGGATCTATTCTGGAACTCTGGAACAAGTTCGGAACCATCCTGGATCTTCCAGCTGGGACAGCACCATAATCCAGCTGTATACTCCATCTGTTTGTTTCTTGCTGGAGTCCAGTCATAGATTCCAGCAAAAAATTGATAATGAAACCATTCTCGACAGAGATATTTCAGCTGTTTCCCAGCTGAAATGGATCTGAATTTACAGATACTGTCTGGTTGAAGATTGTAGCTAGAAATTTAAATTTGGGGGTTGGTGGGTAAAGGTAAAGGAAGTAAAAAGAAATACTGGGCCGTGAGAACAAAAACTTCCTTTCCAACTGGCACCCCCCCCCCCCAGTTTTTCGAGGGTGGGGCACTATAGATTGGTCAGTTCTTCAGAGGGGAGCAGAACTAAAAGTTGTAAGACTATTTGAATAGATTATATAAGCTATGAATTTGACCTGTCATTTTTATGGAAAACTATAGACTTTCAACGCCGAATGGAATAGGGAGCGACGCGTAAAAACGAGAGATGCGAATCCCCTGATGAATCCAGTGATAGCCTGGCTGGGTACGTATCGCAGAGATGCCTCCGAAGCAGAGAAAGATTGCAATCATGGGATTTCGTTCTGTCGGTGAGTCACATGAGTCTAGCTTACTTAAATGTATTAGGCCTAGTCCTTGTCCTAACGTTAGGGCTTAAAGAATAGGCCTACCCTCATTATATAGTTGGGTCCTTCATGTTCTAGTAGAATTCATACTAACTGTAGCCAGGTGATGGCTTAGAGTCCAAGTTAGGTGTTTTTCATGTTAGGCTTACTCAGAAAACCGGCTTTCGAAGTTGGGACACTTATAAAGCAGCCGACAAATATTGGAGAAAATTTAATGAGTGCCAATCCGAACATTCTGCCTCTATAATGACTAAATTGGGATGATGACTCATTGAGACACCTCATGAGACCCTTTGACCAGTTTTGACGTCAGTGGACTGTTAATTCTCCATGGTCGAGTCAACTCGCACCTGGAGATGAGTAATCTCTGCTCCAAATGCCGCCCGGTCAACGTTCCTGTAAGAGTTTCCAAGTCGGAAACACTTGTCTGTCATCGGGTTAACATGCATGTCTACTTACTTTGTGGATGAATTCTTTTCCCTCCAGCCGATTAATCTGAGGCCTAGCCTATTCCCTTCTGTTCATTTATTGTACCAGAAAGTTTTAGTAAGTATTTAAAGAAATGGAAGCACTATGTTGTACAATTGGAAATTTTCATGGATTCTGTATATTGAAAAAGCAGACATTAAAACATATCAAAACCTCTTCAATTTGACCCCTGCTGTCCTCTTTTTACATTAAGTGTCTGTAGAGGGGGAAATAGAGAGGTAGAAGACCCATCCTTGTGCTGATGAGATAATGAAAGTTTTAGAGTTATCTTTGCAGTGTCCAGGGCAGTCCTGGACATCCAGGGTGCTGTAGCTACCATTCTCTTCATATTCCTTACCACTTGATCTTCCCTCTCTACAATAAGAACCAGTAGCTCAATCACTCAGATGTCAAGGTTGAAAGATAGGTTTGATCCCTGTCTTCCTCATTTTTTCTTCATGGGCTTTCACTGCAATTTTCTTTCAAGCAGTCTGGAACCCAATGGTTCTGTTTTCATGTGAACAAAGACCTTACTCCTGCAGGGCCTGTAAGGTAAACATTGGGGAGCTGTACTAGATGTAAAGTTTTGGTGACCTTGGAAAGAAGTGGATACTGGGTAGCTTTGAATGTAACTGGTGGGTTTTATTTTTAAGGCATCTTGGAGTTCCCCAGCCATCAAAAGCTAAGCTCACCCCAGTACACAGTTTTAATATTATACATCATATATAGGAATATGGTCTCTCTGCTTAATTTTTGAGTTGTCAGATCTATAAGACATCCACCAAATTAGGGCAATGAGGGTTTAGAAGTGGGGAACCTCATTCAAATCCCCTTCAAACCCTGGGAGTTCAAGGAATTCTTTCACCTAGACATTGTTTCAAAGTCATGAGGGGTTAGATTGGGTGAATTGGCAAGGGGGATGTTCAATGACATCCCAGCCCCATCTTCCAGGAGGAACTTATGTAATTTGTGAAATGGCATTTGAAATTATGCAGAATGATGGTGGCCTGAGCCTAATGAGACTCAGGTTCTGAAGCAGGGGATCTACCTAGATGCTGTCCACCCAGTGGCAATCATGGTAGCCAATTAGGTATGATAACTGTTATCATACTGAAAAAAGTTTAAATCAGAGAGTTTGGTTTGCATATTAGATGAGATTGTAATTTCTTTCTGCAAAAAGTGCAGTAAACTGGAAATAATATGCAACTGAAATGATTAAAGTCACTCATACTCTCCATGAGATTGGGGATGCCATGAGCTTTCCATAGGTTTCCAAGAGGACTGTCAGGAGGCATCAGTTTGAGGGACAGTCATGTTAATGTGGTACTGATGCCAAACAAGCACCCCTTTTCCACTCTGTGAACTTTAACATCTGGAATTGTGACATCTTAATTTGACTGAAAAAAGTATAATTAAATTGTGTCAAGTCTATTTCCTGTTTTGAAAAGTAAACTAAATTCTTAGCTATCTCTGGAAAGAGATAATGAGTGGGGGAGATTGTAAGTGGTTCATCATCACTTACAAAAAGATTTGGGAATTTGAATGTAAGGCAAAAAATTGTCTAGGAGGACTTGAAGATAAAATGAAAGGGTGCTTTTAGAGAGTTGCATTATACTTTTTCCATAGGAAGCTCATTCAGAGTGTTAATACAGCCTGGGAAAGGGTTGTTCTGAAGTAGGTTGAAGCTTCTCAAGAGGAATCCTTCTTTCTTTTGCTTCTTATGCCAATTATACTGAGGATTGTGAAGATGACTCTTTTGTTGCTGTGTTTGGGTGTCAATGAAGTAATGCAATAAAATCTATTCTGAAGCGTTGTCCACAGACCTTGAGAAAGTCAATGTGAAAATGCAAAATTTGAAACTTCCAGTAAGTAAACCATTGAATACTTGAAAATGTTCAAAGTTGCCTGTTTGTCAGATCATCAATGATATCTCTTTTATTTTACAGGGAAGTCTTCCCTGACCATACAGTTTGTTGATGGGCAGTTTGTGGAGTCCTATGACCCTACTGTTGAAAACAGTAAGTAGTTTTCCTGTCATGTCTTAAATTTAACAAGAATATCTATGAATGGATGGTCATGCTATCCAGATTGTTAACAAGGACTTATTTCAGATAAGTCAATTATTTTGTGAGTAATGGTATATTTTGAAATCCTGATTTCAGCATTCACAAAGCGTATAAAAGTGCGAGGACAAGAGTATGAGCTGAAATTGGTTGACACTGCTGGGCAAGATGAATATGATATATTCCCATCTGCCATTGCAATGGACACCCATGGATATCTCTTAGTTTACTCCACCACATCAGCAAAGAGTTATGAGGTTGTTCAAGTTATTTATGAGAAACTGATTGACATGACTGGGAAAGCCAGGTGAGTTGTTGACCTTGTTTTGCTCTAGTATATAGGAACTTTTTTTTCTCTTTCAAGAGTATGTTGAAAACTAGCTGTTATTGTGAAATGCTTGCAAGTAAAGAAAAAGTAAGGATTTCCTTTAGAATATTTGAGAAGCATGGTGAAGGAACCTCCTAAAATCCTTTTTTTTTCGGTTTAGTGTACCAATAGCACTGGTCGGGAACAAGACAGACCTGCATCTTGAAAGAGTGATACCATTTGAGGAGGGGAAGAAGCTAGCAGATTCTTGGAAAGTTCCATTCCTTGAAGCCTCAGCAAAGGAGAATGAGGTAGGCTGGTTTGATTTCATAGTCATGTACTCTTTGGCTGATTACTGTGATTTCTAATTACCCTGCTCACATGAGCAGGTTCACCTCTTTCATGATTTACTGATTTAATTCCATAATGTTTTATAACATACAGAGTGCAGCACGCGTATTCCAGACTTTGATCCAAGTGATTGAAGAAGCTGATGGGACTGGTTCGCAAGAAAAGTCGTCATGCATCTTATCATAATATTTGTGTCTACATGGAATGCAATGCATCCATTGCTGGCATTCATTGAGACCATGACACTCAAGGCTGAAAAGAGAAAGGCAAGTTGGGAGAAAAACACAAGAAAGGACAGGTCCAAGGTGCTACAAGTCTCATGCTTTTATTTTTTTTTGCTTCTCTTTTTGTATCAGCAGGCATCAGTAATTTAAGTTCTGTTGCTCCATAGTGCTAGTCATCAAAATATTGCTAAGCTCACAGTCACATATTGGCCTGTGCTGATGGGAGCAATTTGTAGACCCAACTTGCTCATTGGCATTGACTTAATCATGGTGCATATAGAGTGCATTCTATGCAAATTTCAAGTCTCAATTTTCATTTCATGGACAAACCATTATAAATACCAATATCTGGCATTTTGTTCTCTTTAGTTATCTAATGCTCTCTTTCTCACTTGGGGTATAGCATTAATGTATATGCAGTGGGTAACCTTAGGTTTTTATTTTGAAGCTGAATTAATTGTAAAGATCAGACTTATTTCATGCGTGCTCTTCTTAGGTCTGCTTTCTTAAAGTGCTGTTAGAAGCAGAGGCACAATTTTTTTCTCAGAGCTAGTCTTGTGAAATTCATCATGATTGTGCCTTCTTATCAAGACTTGCCTTTTTGCAGCCAATCACCTTGGGGCTCTGAATGATGATGCATTCTTCTCATTATGCCTGAAGCATGAAACATTTGAGGAGGTTGTCAATTTAATGATATTAATTGGCTAATTAATTATTTCAGGTTGTATCTTGTGAGGTAAATTTGATTTTCAATTCGTTCCTGAATCTCTTGAATGGATCCCATTTAGGCTATGTTGTGACTTTTTTTTCAATCCCACTTATACTTCTGATATATGAGAAAATGAAATTGAAGCTATGGATCAATAGGATGGGATCAGATTAAATGAAAGTATCTTTATGGTAGTCATGCTGGGAGATTATTGCTCATAAATTGTGTTTTTAGTAGAAACATGATGTTGGCTACTATTTTGTTATATTGCCATTAATTATATTTCAATATTAGTTAATACATAGGTCATAATATTTCAGGGACTGGCATACCTGGGTTGTCAAACTTGTGCTTCATTATTGATGCTACTTGTAGATATAGTTTTAACCCTGCTTTGTGCAATAGCAGGGGGTTGAGAATTCTCAAATGGGTCAACATATGAAGACATGTAGCACATTCCTTCATCATCCAGTGACAGTAATATCTTGGTTTTGTTTTTGTCTTCATGAAGTGCTGTGCTTCCTTCTCTCTTCAAGTGAGCTTTCCATTTGGTTTTATGTCATTATTCCTCAATTCCATCTTTCCTTTATTCTTTCACCATCTCATTATGAGACTCCATATGGTCATGTCTGCCCTTTTCTTGTTTGATTGGCTTATTTGGAATATATCTTTGAAGATTTGTGATATCTAAGTCACATGGATTACCTCCTTGTACGAGTATAAGAACAAGAGTCTTCCATATTTGTGTAACATGTTGACTCATTCCTATACAGATTTCATACTCCCAAGGCATGGATTTCTTATGACTCCATGTTCCAATTTCTGGATGCCCATGGGAAAGCTATGAAATAATTTTTGTTTCTCCAGGAATTTATCTGATTATGACTACTTCTAGGTAGTAATTTACTTTCCTTGGAAATCTCAGATACTAATGCTCATACAGGGTCTTTGTAAAGGGACTTGATGTTTAATTTATTTCTGTATTACAGACCAATTGACATGGAGTTAAGCTTTGCACTATTATTATCTTGGAGGTTGAGTTTTCTTTTCACATAAACACATGCTCATTGTGGGAGTCATCAAGGTCAAGGATCGTTTAGAGGCACTTTAAAATTGTCACTGCAAAAGTGTTGTGAGGGATTGCTGTGGTCTTGAGTTTTTCATTTGTGTGTTGATTATTTTGATTAGCATTATCTTTAAAGAACCCCCAAGGGAAGCAATCACACAGGTTAAGGGTGGTAGAGTATGTTGGCCAGAGCCACCAACACCCAAAACAAGCAGGAAATTGATTTGAGATCACTCAGTTATTGAAGTGTTGGTGCTGGAAGTTCAGAATTGTATTTGTAATCTCTGTGATTGCCGATTTTCAAGTCAATCCATTGAGAAGTGCTAACAAAGCAGACCTCAAAAGATACCTCTATAAGCTCAGTGCAACATGGGCTGTTTTCAACTATTTAGATGTGGCTACAAGCACTGAGAACTTTGCTTTAACACGTTCACATAGTTCAAATTTGGCATTGCGACTGCTGCCTGTTACGTGAAACTGGTCCCCGTGTATTTCAAGTCTACTGTCTTCCAGTGGTTCAGCAGCTTCAGAGAAGCAGCTGAAAAGGAGGAGGTGCCTTCCTCTCTTGACTAGCCCCACAGTAACCATCCAAGATACCAGAGCTTGTCAAGACAGTGCGAGAGCTGGTGGATGAATGCTGCCAAGTGAATACTTGAGAGCTGGATGAGGGGCTCATTGTTGGCAAGAGCACTATCCATGAGGTGCTTGCACAAGACCTACAACTGTGCAACGTGGCATCCGTTTGGGTACTGCAGACTGACCGAGGACAACAATGCGGCTCGCATCAATGGCACCAAGCACGTCCAGGGCATTTTTTTCCGTGAAGGCATGGAGGCTCTCTGCAACAAGCTCAGTGAGGCCTTTTGCAACAAGATCATTCGTGTAACAGGCAGCAGCAGCAATGCCAAGTTTGAACCACGTGAACATGTAGAATCGAAATTTCTCAGCACTTGTAGCCATATCCAAATTATTAAAAACAGCCCGCATTGCATTGAGCTTATAGAGTTTTTTTTTGTCTGCCCTGTAAGCAATTCTCAATGAATTGACTTGAAAATCAGCAATCACAGAGATTGCATATTGATCTAAATGCCTGAGCAGTGGGGAGTGCATTGCTAGAAGGATTACAAAGTTACAAATGATTCTCATTACTTTCCAGACACCCGAAGTACATTTAAGCCATAACTCTTGCCTAAGGTTTATAAGTATTACCCCAAAAATGGTGAATCATGTCTCTTGGCCATATCACCTTCCCACTAACCAAGTGCAGGAGAGTTTCATCAAGATCCCATGAGGACTCGCATTTTTAACCACTTAGGTTATTAGTACCCCACCCCAGCGGCAAAGAAAGGAGGAGGGTGTTAATGCTGTAATGATATTGAACCTTGCCAACCCAATGAGAAAGTTGTGGAAGCATGAGTAATAGTTCTTGCTGATAAGAGTGCAATTTAACTTGAGGTCTTGATTAAGGAGTTCATCCCTTTTGTTGATACAGTTGCCCACCAGTTTAATCAGAGATGCTTGCATATGAATTTATCTTCCTGTCCACTTCTCATGCCAAGGAGGTGGTGATCCGTCAGAAGATTAAGAATATGCTGATGCTGATTTTACCCTGCTCTCCTTGCTCAACTTGACATTGTAATGAGCCTAGTAGTATTTCATTTGTGATGTTTTACAACTACAACCTTACAAAATCTATGTATGTAGGTGCTATGCAGACTGTGGGGTAAGTGAGATGAATTCTAACCCTGTTATAATGTACACTCCCTATGCCACCTAATTCGACATAATAAGAAATCCAAAGAACCTCTTTGAATCAAATTACACCAATGCCTGGTCTCAAAACATGAATGGGAAGTATTTACATTTCCCTTTCAAATGATATAGACCTGAAAACCCCTTATTTCATCATGTTGGTGAGGGGGTAGATTTTGTATCTCTCACTATGCCGTAAAGACAATGATATAGAAAGAATTACTGCATGTCTTTGGGGGGGGGGTCTCTTCATCCCTGTTTTGCTATTGGTTATCTCATAATTATATCATTACCCAAATAATTATATCATTTCAGAAATGTACTTGATGCAGTATGTATTTTGAGAACATTCTTAGTATAAAAAAAAAAAATTTTCCCTAGGGTCTTCTGGAACAGTGGCCATTGAATAGCCAAGGTGCAGGTCAATCGTCTCTGTTTGCAGCAATCTCCTGCATGATTATAAAAGTGTGTGTCTTAAAAAGGAAAGAAATAAACCCTTTAGTTATGAATCCAATAATTTTTACATTTATGCATGCATTCATGCATGCAGACTAAATGCCTGAGTTTTCTGATGCATTATTGGTGGTAAAGATGAGATGACTTGGAAGGAGAATGGCAACAGGAGCAACATTGCAGAAAGCCATTGATCTGGTGACACGGGCAACGGAGGAAGACAAGAACAAAAACTATGAAGAAGCTTTACGCCTGTATGAGCATGGTGTAGAATACTTCCTGCATGCCATCAAATATGAAGCCCAGAGTGAGCGTGCCAAAGATAGCATTCGTGCTAAGTGCATTCAGTACCTGGATAGGGCTGAGAAGCTCAAGGAGTTTGTTCGTAAGGGTGGAGAGAAGAAGAAACCTGTCAAGGTGAGTGGGTTTCCTCCATATTGTTATCCCTGTCATACTGTACTTCATTTACAAGGAAAGGGTTGCATTGATCATTCCATTCCAGGATCCCTATGACATCAAGAGCATAAATTGGCTACATAATGGATGGACATAAGTGTGTATAGGCCTGGTTGTGACAAAGATGTGTCACAACTACTGTTATGTTTCTTGATTAAGTGTTTATTGTTGCCTATCTCATTTCCTTTGAACTGCATTATATCTGGATGTCCTACCAAAGTCAATGAATCAGGGCAGTTTTGGGATATATTACGCATCTCTTCAAGATATTGTAGCAGTCCTTTGAGCTTTGGACTGGCTGTCATTAGCCATGCCCTTTTAAATTTTTCCTATTCTATGTATTTTAATGTTTTCTATGTTTCTACTTAAGTGATGTTAACAAAACAGGTCTCTTTGTCTCAAATGTTGTGTCTTTCCATGATCTGCTGAGCAGGTTGTACACAGCAAGACTCAGGTCATGCACTAACCCTCTAAATGATGCATTTCTAATGTCATATCATGCCAAATCTTGGAGATGAAGTAAAGTTCAGACAGCCAGCTAGTGCTGATGTCTACATCTTTGAAAGAGTAGGCATCTATGTCTTTATCTCAAGACAAAGATTGCATTCAAAAGTGAATTAGAGTTTCCAATTAATAATCATTCTTGATATTTCTCATGTTTATAGAAGTTAAAAAGAAAAGTCACAAAGATAAAGTAACTGAGAGCTTTTCCTCATGAACCCAAGATAAAATCTTTCACAAAGGGGTGTTGAAGATTTCTGATCATACTCTGGAATATTTTCATGACCAGGCAGGGGAGTCAGGAAGCGGGAACAAGAAAGATGAAGATAGTGAGTCAGATTCAGATGATCCAGAGAAAAAGAAGATGCAGACCAAGCTGGAAGGAGCCATCATCATGGAAAAACCCAATATACAGTGGACTGATGTGGCTGGTTTGGAAGGAGCAAAAGAAGCTTTGAAAGAAGCAGTCATCTTGCCCATAAAATTCCCTCATTTGTTCACCGGAAAGCGAACCCCTTGGAAAGGGATTCTCCTCTTTGGACCACCTGGTGAGATTCCAGTACTTGCATCTTGTGTTGTAATTATGGCTGACTTAAAAATTCAGATGTATTTCTTGACCTTTTTCCTTCCTTTCCTTCTTGACATTTTTGACCCTTTCTCATTACCTAGGGACGGGAAAGTCATACTTGGCCAAGGCTGTGGCAACAGAAGCCAACAACTCGACGTTCTTTTCTGTGTCGTCATCAGACCTAGTGTCCAAGTGGTTGGGAGAGTCAGAGAAATTAGTGAAAAATCTGTTTGAGCTGGCACGCTCCCATAAACCCAGCATCATCTTCATTGATGAGATCGATTCGCTCTGTTCCACTCGGTCAGACAACGAGTCAGAATCGGCCCGACGCATAAAAACTGAGTTTCTTGTCAGTCTTTGTCTTCCCCCCCTTCCCACCACCTTTATTCCCATAGTCAATCTTAATTTGGAATGCTTGCCCTATTCTCACAGGTCCAGATGCAAGGTGTTGGGAATGACACTGAAGGAATACTTGTGTTGGGAGCCACCAACATCCCATGGGTGTTGGATGCAGCCATTCGGAGGAGATTTGAGAAGCGCATCTACATTCCCTTGCCTGAAGCAAATGCTCGAGCTGAGATCTTCAAAATTCATGTTGGCTCCACTCCAAACACACTGACTGAAGAGGACTTCAAGGCATGCCTAGATCCTTTTCTCTATTTATTTCCATAGGTCAGAAGTATTTTAATTTAAAAATTTAGGAAAAAACCAGGCCCTCAGACCCTGCACAAGCACAACAAAAGCTCTTCGACTCTATCAAATTAAAAAGTTGAGCTTTCTGCAGATTTCACATTAGCAATAAAAATTTTATTTGATTTTCACAGCTTTCCCTTCTGCCCCTCAAAAACTTTTGAACTTCCCATTTCTTTATTCCAATTACTTTCTATTCCTTCTGATTTCATGATTAAAAAATACTTGGCAGAACCTGGGGAAGAGAACAGAAGGATATTCAGGAGCAGACATCAGCATTGTGGTACGAGATGCTCTCATGCAACCTGTGAGGAAAGTTCAAACAGCTACACATTTCCGCCGAGTGTCAGGTCCATCTCGAGATGACCCCAATATCATCGTGCATACCTATCTCACTCCTTGCTCACCTGGGGATCAAGGAGCCATAGAGATGTCATGGATGGATGTTCCTGGGCAGGAACTCTTTGAACCCAAGATCACCATGAGCGATGTCCTTCGTTCAATAGCCAATTCCAAGCCCACGGTGAATGATGAAGACTTAAAGAAACTTTTGAAATTTAAGGAAGACTTTGGGATGGAAGGATGAACCCCTAGTTCACTTCCTATCAATCGCCTCTGTCCTGCCCTCATTTCTTATCTTCTTGCATCTAAAGCTGGTCCTTTGATTTGTCCTTTCCTTCCCAATTTTCTGTATCTATGATGTGTATTCTACACTTGCTTGTCCTGCTAGGGTAAGTAATCTGAGATGTGCTTTCATAGAAAAAGATATGAGGAGCACAATGTGAGAAGATGGGTTGCATTTGCACTTCTGATTGTGATGTCGCATTGTTCTTCACACATGGAATATCATTACTTATTGCTCCTTCATTCTATGACCATCATGTGATTCACAATGCAAAGAGGATGAGCAGTAGATCACATCAACCATCTGTAGAGATTGGTCTCAATCAAGTGTTTATGATAAAATGCATATTTTTTATCTGTCTCATATGATGCATTGATTCAATAAATAAGAGGGAGTGAGTAACTATTTTCTGCTTGAAGGTTTTGGTGGGTTTATGTTCCTCACTCATAGTGCTGGTTCTGCCATGGCCATGCTGCAAAAGCAAGTGAGAATCAGGAGGATTCTCTCAGGCCAAAGAAATCCTTGTCACTTTCATGAGGTATGTTCAAAAAGTAATGATCATTGCAGCACAACTCCTTCATCTCTCAAGGAACAGGACTGCAATGTTGAGTGCTATAATTCTGTTTTTTAATTCTACACCCTAATGAAATTTCAGCTTTGTTACTACTGCCATTAACTTTTTTTTTACCAGGCGTTTTAAGTACAGGGTGGCACTCAAAAACAGACCATTTCAAATCCCTATACATTTTTTTACTTTTCTTCTGATACTTCTGAGACAAAGTTTATTAAAGGGTACTATTCAAAAAGTTTTTATCAACACTTTTTCTTTTTTCAGATTTGTTGAAATGGTACAACTAACTGAAGAAAAATAATACTCATAGTTGAAGAATATCAGGAGGCTAATTCTTCTGTTCTTGTTGCAAGACATTTCAGATGAAGATTCCTGGGAAGGAATTCACCAGCTAAGCTGTGTGTAACATTGCCAAGGAGTTTCCTAATGAAGCAAGTGTTAAAAATGTAAGCAAAGACAATTTTGGCCTGTAAGTGACCATGCAGTCTGTGCCAAACATTCAGGATATTCTAAATCGAATTCAAAGAATGCTTGATGCAGTATGCAGTCACTTGCTGGTGAGAAATGCCTTTGCTGACAATTTTAAGACTTGCTTCATTGTGAAACTTCTTGGTCAGGTTGTACACTGATTAGTTGGAGGATTTTTTTCAGGGAATTTTCATCTGAAATGTCTTGCAACAATAACAGGAGACGTCGTCTTTTGATATTCCTCAACTATGAATATTGTTTGTTTTTTCAGATAGTTGCATGAGAAGCTTTCATTTCTTTTTTTTAAATTAGTGATGATTAATCAATTGCTTATTGAAATTACTTGAAAAGTTGGAGGGAACCTTTTAAAAATAAAATAATTTGATGGCTAAACACAGCAGAAATTGTGCACAGGCATATAAGAAACCTACATTATTAGCACCCAATCTTGAGCCACATTAGACCAGGATAGTTGACCCAAAACGAATGAGAACTGGAATACGGGTTATTCAATTGGGACGTCAAAATATTCAGCTTCTTTTCAGGAATCTCAAGAGCCATCACTTATGACTGACTTCTAAATCATTTTTAAGGAAAAATCTTTTAAAAAATTTCATGGATAGGGAGGGATAAACCCTCCACAAAACTAATCTTTGGCATATTCTAAATTGAAGTGAAACAAATACAAGATGTGGTTGTTGGAGGTCCTAGCTATACAAAAAGAGGAACTTTTCCTGACTCAGCCTGAGATTAGGTGTTGAAGTATTCGGCATCACAGCGGTGCTCCAGGAAAAATGAAGGAACTGTGCTACAGTAATCACTACCTTTTGAATGTGCTTGCCCCTTTCTTGTGTCGATCATGTCTCCAAGAGTGAGTTATTGATGCTACACGTGGGTGGTTCTTATATGATCCTTGTCAAAGGATACATGTGAAGGGAGGAATGTCGACATCAGAGGAGAAAGTGGGACATTTGGAGGAGGAGGCAAGGAAGCGGAAAGAACGATTGTTAAGACTGAAGCGCAAGGCATCGGGGTTTTCAGAGGAAGACGATGCCGATCGCCATTCTGCTGCACCTTCGATGCCTCTTCCCAAGTCTCTGTTTCTCTTTGTCGCAGTAGAATGAGTGAATACTCCATGTATTACACAGTTGTTGTATTGCACAGGCCAGTGTTTCGGAGCTACAAGCCTACAGATGAGGGTCTGGCCGAGAACGTGATGGAGCGCATCCAGCCCTTAGATGTAGATGACCAAGTGAAGGATCAGCTGGAACTTGGCAAGAGTTACCAGCTCATCTCTGATCAAGTGGTCTGTGAAATGATTCCCTTCAATCTCGCTATCCTCCCCCTCCTGCACTATTTAACCCTTTCAGGCTTGGTGGGACTCAGGAGTCCTGCATTTTTTCCGCATATTTTGTTCTGCTATACAGAAATGCACGGCCTTGAGGCCTGGCTGGACTTCCAAGTCCCTGTGACCTTTTTTGGAATTTGTATTTTTGTGGTCAATGACATTTCATAGTGAACAGTTGAATGAGGTGTTGAAAAATATAAATTTGTTTTTACCAAATTTATATTTTTTATTTTAATCTTAACGGGTTAAAGGAATGCCAAGTGGAATGAATGTCCACGGAAAGGCTGTATGTATGCTGTATTTGCATCCTTGTAGGATCTGACATCTCTGGCTCCACGGAAACCAGACTGGGACTTGAAGAGAGATGTTACAAAAAAGTTGGAGAAACTTGAGAAGAAGACGCAGCAAGCGATAGCCCAGTTGATCAGGGAACGACTGCGGAGCGGGGAGGGGAACTTCGCTATGGCCGTCAATGCTGGAGCCACTGCCGAAATGGTCGATGAAGATTGACCATGCCTCTCAATCTTGTGATCATATGTGATTATTTCCTTTTTTCACATAAAAGGTTTCATTTGGTCTCTTACCCTTCTTGGTTGAATTATTCATTGTTAAAAAACACTCATACATTCGAATTCAAGTTGATCTGGGCATAGAAGTTTGCTCACTGAGATGCTCACTCCAGGAATGTCCAGTCCAGGAATTCCATACCAGGAATTAGTCCAGTCGTGCAGGAACCTGTTCAGTTTTTCACTAAAAACTTAGGGTGGGTTCTTGTACTCTCTTTTAGCTGCTAACGGGCTTTTAATCGCTCCTTTTAGCTAAATGTGATTCTTGTACAAGCTTTTACACTAAAAGCCCTTTTATATCATGATGATTTTAAAGATGGTCTTGGGGCTCAGTTAAAACAGCTTTTGGCATTGTCAAAATGAAGACGCTGGGACAATGCATAATCTTCGCATTGTCCGTCGTGGGAGAGCTGGCGATCATCATAGCGTGGCTCGAAGTCTGGCAGACCGTAGTGATCCAATGCGTACTCTGGATGATTTTGCATTCAAACGTCGATTTCGATTCGAGGAGACAGTTGTGGAAATTACCCAGCTCCTGACTTCACGCCTTAGCCAGCAGCGACTAAGAATGGACGTGCACCCCAAATAAGTTCTAATCGCATTTGCGCTTCACAACGAACTCATTTCATGAGGTGCTGGGGATTGAAATTCGCCTCTCGAAATCAGCTGTGTATGCATGCATCCATCAAGTTGCAAGCGCCCTAGCGAATTTGAGACCTCAATGGGTGACATTCCCGTGCCCCGTAAAATATGATCGGATTAAAATGGACTTCTGTGAGCTTGCTGGATTCTCAGGAGTACTTGGATCGTGCATCGGCTTCCTTTTAGCACCACATTTTATTCTTTTCCAAAGGATGCGAATCTGGGACGCTTTTCTCTTTGACTCTGACGGAAACTGGGCCGCAAGCTAGAACGCCACCCTCTCCCATGCTTTGTTCTTCAGAGCATTGCTCACTTTATGCATTCGATAATGCTTTTATCGGTATTCACCAGGGATATTAGGCAATCTCGCTCCTCTCTAGAGAAATTTTCACCCTTTTCACGCCTCTAGGTGGACTTGCTTTCAGCACTCGTACTCGCTAAGGTTGCAAATGGGGTTGTCAAATGCTTCAGTCAGATTTATAAACGTTTTCGTTGAGGAGAGGTTATGCATTCCCAAAAGCTCTTTAGCTTAAAGGCCCTTTATCTCCCCTAAATGGGGTTTGTGCATTCGGGCCTTATCTTTGCTAGCAAACCCTTGCTCATCAAAAAAAGAGGGCACGGGTGTTGTGCCCAGACAATACGTGGCTCAAAAAAAAGCCCTGTTTGACGCTCTTTTACATGGCTAAGTTCGTTTACTTTTTTATAGCACACAAAATACACACTTGTTCTAAATGAGTTTAAAATATTGAGCATTTGAGTGAAAAGCAACGATGAATGAATGAATGCAAACGTATTTCAGTTAATCAGGGAACACGGTGCGTCGTAAATTGTGTTCCCCATCAAATCGAGGAAAGTGAAGAGAAAGAAAGATTTCAGGCAGATGGGATGAAAAGTCATCCAGGCGTGTTGGAAGTTGAGCAATCGGACAACGTATGGAAGGGTTGATGTTCGTTTGGTTTGGACACTTAGCACTCGCGAATCAGTCTGAGTACGTCCCAGCGATCGTCAATGTTGGAGATCTCACGGAGATTAGATACTGTTTGCACGCAGGGTTCCGATGGAGGGACCCCTGCAAACTTCAGTAAGACTTAGATTTTCCACATGCTGCAGCAGTTTAAACGATGCTGCGTAGACTTAAGTAAAGCAAATTGCTCAACCACGGCCATACATTTGAATGAGGTAAGTACCAGCTAGGCATCTTGCTACGAGGGAAATTGCACCTAAGAAAATAATAGAATACGGCCCCAGGTCTCCAGTTGTCATCCATTGCCAAGGTTAAAAAACAAAAGACCTATCGGCAGGTCAGTTCCTTACAGAGGAGAGGACTCCAGCCGCTGATATATTGAGGGGATTCCTGGCACTGGTAAAGACAGGGAGGAGTTGATGGCATGGCCATCATTCATGGTCATTTGATACGAAAAGACCGGATGGTATTGGTTTCAGTTCACCGATCACTCCCTCTCTCGGCTCTCCTATGTTTCGTCATGGAGAAATCTCTCATTCACGCTCACGTCCATCCCCATCTGCTCTGTTCCGGCTTCCTTCCAACAAAATCAGGAGGCTATAGAAAGTACCGTCCTCCTGGAACTGATGATGTCCGTGAAAGCATGATGTCTCCGGTCGGGTGGGCAATAACAAAAGCAGGCCCCATCCTGGATGTTTCGAGGTGATGGATGAAGTCGATAGAAGTTTCTTTTGGGAAGTTCTCAGTCGTTCGTATGAAAGAAGCAAGGTGAAGCATGTCCATAGGTAACCATAGCGAGTGAGAGAAGAGAGTTCGTGGACCTCCAATATAGACAGTGTACTGGAGTCCAATGAAGACTCTCCACACCCGAGGGTGAGAGACTCGAACGCGCGAATGGTAGGCAGGCGGCAGCAAAGGCATGGTGATTGCGTCAGGGCAGGGGCCGCCACCACCACCACCACGTCACCATGTCTGTCGTGCCCCGAGGGGAGAGGGAGGAATGGGAAAGGACTGGAGCCACCACTCACTCACTCTCCGTTCGCCCTCGACGAGAGTGAGAGTCTCACTCCCACATTCGACATCGTGCATGCAGTGTTCGTCCTTATGAATATCTTCGGCCATCCTGCTCGTCGGAATGACACTACCTCGTTACTGTGGCAGTAGGCACTGATCCCTACCATCATCGGTGTTGGCTCCATACCTCCCTTCGAGCGTTCTCATCCGCATATCCTAGGTGAGTCGGGAGTCGCATGGCATGCAGTCACTTTCTCTTCCCATCCGTGCACTTGTTCGTTATGGTCCGTGAGACCCACATCCGGACTTCTCGTCGCCTCTTCTTCATCAGGTGTTCTTTCGAACACGAGTATGTATGAGTCACAGTCGAGACGTAGAGGGGGCTTGCAAGGAGGAGGAGGAGGAGAAAAGGAGTAGGCCCAAGCTGGGAGTCCTTGAGGAATGAGAACATGGCTGCTCCCTTTCTTTCTCTCCTCGAGCTTTCCTTCTCTTTCTCCGCACCAATTCCAGGCCTTATAGACGGCCTCTTATTTCTAGCGTCCTTTTCACTCCCACGCAGCTTTAGCATACTTTAGGAAGGGAAAGAAGCAGCACACGATGCAGCCTCGATGATGGCATTGCCGATATCTCGTGAATCTCTATCGGATTCACACGTGTTGCCTACCCAAATCGCCCGTCGGAAAGGCAAAATGTTCAAATTGCGCCCGTGGTTTTATACAGAGCCGTATCGAGGATATTTTGCGCCCTGTGCGAGATATCAATCTAGCGCCCCCCTCCCCCACGCGAGATATCAACCCAGCGCCCACCAATCTCTATACCTCTCCAGCTTCCCCAGCACAAACAATACATTACGTATTAATTTCTATGTTTAATTTAGTTAAATTCAGGATAATTTGCAATTTTTCTAGTTTTATTCATATTTTGTAGTGATTTGGCAGCCAATCGGCCCCCTGTGCAGGGGCACCGCTCGTACACCCCTTGTTACGGCACTGGTTTTATATCATGGTTGATTTCGGCTTTGGACCCTCTCTCCCCCGTATGGAATCGAACGAGATATCGCCTACCTCGCAATTCTACTCCGCATTGCCATAGCCTACGAAATCGACACTTTTTGTGGCCAGCTTGAGGCTTCTTAGAAGGCGACCGACCGGTTCTCCCCTCTACCAGAAAGGGAAGAAGGGAGGTCGCAGTGAGATCACTATGGACCGGTACGTATGCAATGCGGTCCGGTCTGAAGATGTCGAAACCAGATGTTTGGGTCTGATCTTCGACACCCAAGAAGCGCCATTTCCGAAAATAACCCCTCTTCGTAGGCGACCCCATCCCGTTTGGTAGATTGTCACATGGTCTCTTACGTCACTTTTAGAAAAAAATTTTCGATAAAATAAGGAATACGACGTGTGTCCCCCCCCCCCCCAAACTCCTCCTCACGAAATTGCAGTCCGACCCTGTATCGCGCGAACCCGTCTCACATTGGTCGAACGACCATTGGAGCATGAAAAGGAGCTCCTCTTCGGTAAACCCTAGGAACTTGCTACGCGTATTCAGCATCATTACCTGATTGATAGATTCTCCCATTCTCCTAATGTATACAGATGCGCGTGTACTTGCACACCGGGTCGTTCCCGTAGATGGTTTTTAGTACTTGTACGAAATGTAAACCCTCTCTCTTTTCGTGGGAGTATGCACGAGTGAAAGTTAATCGTTCGGAGTGGCTTCGACTGTTTTTCCACGTTCTCGTGAAAATAGGGAACGCCAACGAAATAGATATTAGTACAGATGCGAAAATGGAGATTCGGAGGGAGTAATCTCACGTACGGAGATTGCCTTGGGAGAGGATATGTGACACGAACAACTTGGATGGACTTGGACGATAAACGCTCCCGTCTCGACTCTCTCTAAGAGATTTACCCAGAAACTTTAGCGCCCAAAATGCCATCGTCTGCATTTTGAACATCGCACGCGCGGTGGATGCAACTGTGAACACCCCAAGTGACATGTACTTACAGACACAATTTCTGAAGAAAAAAAAACTCGATGCGACTCTGGATAATAACTGCAGACGAACTAGAGGATCAGAACTCGTAAAAACAAAAAGGTAGAGTACGCTCCCGTATCATCCGATGGCTTCGGTGAAATCACCTTGTGCTAGTTGGAGCAGTGGCACGTGTGGCCTTGGGTTTCGGAGACGAGCCGTGCACACCTGGTCGGCAATCGGGCGATCGGCCCGAGGAGCAGGGCGTGCACGACTCGTCTACCGAGCCCAACATCGAACGTGTGAATGCCACTCGACTATCGAAGCTAGCGTAATGAAATTTTAACGACTTTCAGACACGGGCGACTATTTATCGTACCCAATTTTTAAATTACACCGATCATCTATATAGTTTGCCGTAG